ATTTATAGGGTTGTTTGAGCAGAGCCTATTAAGTGGGGGGGGGGTGCGCGACACGGTGCCGTGGTGCAGCGGTGGCGTGAGGCGTAGTCGAGATCTAGCCGAGCCGAGATCTAGCCGAAGGGTCTGGCCGAGGTCTGGCCGAGATTTGGCCGAGGTCTGGCCGAGGTTTGGCCGAGGCTGGCCGGGTAGCCGCGGCACCGTCGAGAAAGTCCGTGCGTACCAGCCGCTCGGCGCCCTTCTCGCCCTCGAAGAGCTGCACCTCGCCGGTGGCATACTCCGTGCGCACCTGCCGCTCCGCGCCCGCCTCGCCCGTAAAGTGCCAGATCGTGCCCCGCTGCAAGGACCGCTCGCGCAGCAGTGCTCCCGGCTCGTCGCCGCGCTGCAGCCGCCAGAACTCGAAGCGGCGGCTGCCCAGACCTCGAATGCCGGTCGAGAGGCAGAGGGCCGGGCTCACCCGCTCCAGCCACGGGAAGTGCTCCTGCCTCGCCCGCCGGTCGGCGGAGTATTTGCGCAGGATGGCCTCGGTCACGGGCGTCTGTTGTTCCCCTTTAGACCTCGTGCGCTGGGCGAGCTGCTGCTGCATCGCCACGGCGAAGAGGGGGTCCTTGAAGCGAGCGAGGTCATGGCCAAAGGCGAGGAGGCCGAGGCGCGGCGTCGCGAGGCTGACGGCGGCGCAGTCCGAGAAGTCGTCGACGGCCTCGAGAATGAGCAGCTGCAGCTCCGGCGCCAGCTCGGCGAGCCAGTCCATGGGCGGGGTCTCGTCTTCGTTCCGCGCCCGAGACGGCGGCCGCGATCGCGCCATCTGCGCCGTCGAGAGAACCCAAAATGATTGCCTTCACAACCGTTTTTTGGTGCCCACACACACACACACAGGGCGCGCTGCACCGGGCCAACCTGCGGCCGTCGCCACGTGCGGCGGGGCTCACCGCGGGGCAGCGCGCCGACGACGTCGAATGCGCCGCCGTGGCATCGCGGCGCCGACGACCAGGCTCAGAGGATGACCCCGGGTAAGTGTTCCCGTGCCTCGAGCACTTGAGCACTGGATAGGGTCGATTCCGCATGGTACGGGACCCCTCGACAATTGCCGCTGGTAGGCGCGCCGCGCCGAACCATGGCGGGCGCGCCGCGGCCGCGCGCAACCTTCGTCACAATGCCAACCGCGCGCGGCCGTCGACCGGCAAGCACACGCCTCGACTCGGACACACTGCTCCGAGGGCAAGGGAGAGGGGCTGGCTCCTAGCCCGAGAGGAGAGCTTCCGAGACCCACTACAAGACCACGCACGCATCATCCCGCGGCCTGGCGGTCGGCGGGATTGCAACCAGTCTTCGCGTGCCGCCTGTCGTTCGCTCGGGCGCCTTGGGCGTCGGGGTGGCGAGCAGGGGACGCAGCTCTGATACGAGCGTCACTTTGTACCCACCCCCCCTAGTTCGTGGGGACCCCCCCGCCGGTCGGTGGTCTGCCCCCGAGGTGGACCGGACCCCCCCTCCGGTCGGTCGCTCTCTCGGCGGCGGGAGGTGTGACGACCGACCCCCCCCTCGGTTGGTGTCCTTGCCGTGAGCCCCCTCAAACGCTCTCCCTCCTTCTCGCGAACCGCCACGGGCGCTTCGAAATCGCCGATTTTCACTATGAAAACCAGTCACGCAGCCAAGCGGCAAGGAGACTCTCTTCGCCGAGGCCCGAGCAAGCCCGACCGCACACGTATATGTGGAGCATCTACGCAGTCGCAGGCCTGGTCCTGCTTGCCGTTGCTTTGTACAAGCTCTGGCAGCGCTCCAGTTCTCCACAGTACGCGCGCATCGTCCCTTCTGATGACTATGATGACTTGCCCGACTTGATCGACACATTGCCGCCGCTGTCACCGGGCTCATCGGCTTCCGAGTCTCCCAAGCGACAGCGAATGGCAATCGATGGACGTCGCTTCTCCTTCTGGAGCAACTCAGTTAATCGCGACATGCTGCGCGTTGCGCGCGGGCAGAGCTATGGCGGCGACATGATCTGCCTCGCACCCGGTCTTCACGTCTCCAAATTTTCCCTGGACCATGATGCCACCCATCAAGCTACAGATCAACCTCACGACGGAGGTGGAGAAGGAAGGAGGTGGACCGCTTCTTGGAGTCGGAGGAGGAGCAGTTCACCTTCGAGGAGTTCTACTGCATGCTGGGCCCGTGGGCGCTCGGCCGGCAGAAGGAGGTGCTGGCCGCGCATTTCGAGATACTAATTTATTCACAGCTGCGGCGAGCGTGTGCGGTGTGACCCTCGAGCCAACCCCCCCTCTGTGTTGCGCTTTGTTTGGTCGCGCGCCTTGCGTACAACGCGCAAAAAACAAATGGCGGCCTTGTCCTCGCCTGAGTCGGAGCTGGTCGAGCTCGAGAAGTTGGCAGCGGATGCTGCCGCCGCGGCAAGTCTTGCCGAGAGCGAGGCGGCGCAGGCGGATGCGGCGGCAGACGCGGCGGACGCTGCCGCAATAGCGGATGCAGCGGCGGAGGAGTCTGCGGCTGAGGCGGCCGAGGCAGACGCGCAGCCGCAGACTACGTTTGGCTCGGTGGCCGGGATCGGCTCATCGTGGCTGGGCTCCTCGGGCCTCATGGAGGGGCTCGGCCGGGTGGGCAGCGAGGCGCGCTTCCAAGCTCCTCTCCGCACGCTCCCTTCTGCCCCCGCTTCACAGCAGACACGTCTCCCTCCCGCAGCTCAAGTCGGCCGCCACGGATGCGGCGGGGCTGGCAAAGGCGGCCGCGAGCGAGCTGTCCGAGAAGGGCGCCGCTGCAGGAGGTACACGCCCCTAGAGAAGCGGAGTACGCGTTTTGTCTTCCAACCGGCACTCGAGAGCACACGGATGCCGCTCTCTTCGGCCGTAGTCAGCGGCATTCAGCTGTATTCGTGTGACTCGTGTTCGCACCGTGCTCAACATCTCTTGCTCCCGCCCCGAGGCTGGTGTATTCAGCACGTGTTTTCAGCAGTACAGGCACACTCCGCTCGACCGCAAAGGCGGCTGTGGGTGCGGCCAAGGCAGCGGCTGCCTCCGCCGCCGATGCCGGCGTGCTGCGGACCACCGTGGTCGAGTTTCTGGTCATCAGCGGCCGTGAGCCGCCGCCGCCGAATGCGAGCGCTACAACGCTCGCTCACATGCTGCGCGCACGAGGCCGCCACGTTAGCTCATTTGTTGCTTGCTCCGCTCACGCGCTGCACCGCGCAAGACCCTCCTGATTTGGGCGACGACGACTCTGTCCACATGCTGCGCGCGCGAGGCCCCTCCCCTCTCCCGCCACCTCCCTCCCCACCTCCCTCCCCACAGGGCTGCAGCTGGTTAAGGCCGCCGAGTCGAGCCGCGCACAGGCCTTCCAGAGAAGCTGGCTGAGTAGCAATTAATTCGAATCCACGAACCGTCGACATGAATCCTGTTCTACCGAGTGCATTTGAGCTGATACTACTACTCCATTCGGCCAGCCGCGCTCAGGCGGTCCAGGTCATCTCCACTCATGAGTCAGCCCACCCGCGCGCAGGCGGTCCAGATGGCGGCGGCGGGGAAGGCGTACAAGGCTCGCGCAAAGGCGGAGGGCATGCGTGCGGAGGCGGCCAGCCGGGCGGCCGAAGCGGCAGAGTCCGCGTCTCGGCAGGCGAGGGCTAGGTTGAGGCTCTCTCTCGGCTCTCTCGGGGGTAGATCGTGGCTAGATCTCGGCGATGCCCTCGGCCTAGATCTCGGCGCGGCTCGGCGGGCGGCGAGGATTGCGCCACACACTGCCCACCTCGGTGCACCCGATGTGGTGTTGCACCCCCCCCCCCCCCCCACAGTTCATTAGGTGAGGCGTCACCTCGACGCGGCGCTCGCGCGAGTCGCCGCCCTCGAAGCAGAGGGCGGGCGGGCGGGGCGAATCGCAGCGTCTTTGGAGCCGCCGCCGCACCTCCACAGCGGCAGCGCCACGCCCCTCGCGCCGGCTGGCGGCGGCAGCGGCAGTGTAGCAGTTGGCAGTGGCGCCGGCGAGACGGCGCGTGCCGGGCTGAGGATAGACGCCGTGTCCGGGGACAGGGTGCGGCTCTCGGTCACCGCGGCCGCTCGGGGATGAGGTGCTCGCCGGTTGCACCTGTCGTGAGTAAGGGAGGGGAAGGGAAGGTAATTCCCCCCACACAAGTTGGCGGGGTGGCTGGGGCAACCGGGGGGGGGGCGATCTCGCGACTCAACGCCTAGACTACCTTTGGCTTTGTCTCTCTACAAATAAAGCCGTACACCTCTCTTGGGACTCTTCCCCGTAAAGGTACAGGATTTCCCACTTCCGCCCCAGTCGCAACACGACACGATCACGCTACGCACAACACAGTACAGGGGGAGCGGCAAGGCCGCCAATCACTAGACAACACGAGGCACAATTAAAGCCGTAATGCAAGTGTTCAATAACGCGCGAGGGGGCGGACCGCGTCGTGACCGCTCTCGCCGGCGCCAGCAAATATCACACCTCCACGCCAGAGAAGTGCAGCGAGCAGCCTCTCAGAGGAAGACGAGCGCGAGCGACAGCGGGAGGAGCACCATGCCCAATACGAGCATGCCGAGCGAGCCGACGCGGACGGCCGTGCATCCAGCCTCGCGGAAGAATGCAAAGTAGAAGAGGCCGGGCAGGAGGAACGTCATCGCCACCGCGCCGACCGCGCCCGCGACGCTCTGCACGAGGCCGAGGTTGTCGGTGAGCAGCGCGGCACCGGCGCAGGCGGCGATGAGCACCAGCGCGAGCGCAAACTCGAGCGGGTTGCGGATCCAGATGGCGCGGAAGCGCTCGCAGCGGCTCGCGGCGGCCGGGAGGGTGTCGAGCGAGGAGGGGGCGATGGCGACGTCCTTGGAGGGGGCGGGGCGGCAGAGCGAGCCGCAGGCCTGGTCGATCATCCCCATGAGCGCCTTGCGCACCGCGAAGGTGAGCAGCGGGATGTTTGTGATGACCGCGGCGCCGAGGCCGACGCGGAAGAGGGTGACGACGCCGTTCTGCGGGTAGCTGTCGAGGATGTCGGGGTGGACGTTGGCGCCAAAGGAGAGGTATCCGAAGTAGGTGAAGAGGCCGTACATGGGCAGCAGCACCCCAAGCACCGCCGTGACCAGCACCGTGACCACCCGCCGCGGCGACGGGTCGTGCAGCTCGTGGATGATGGGAAGCAGCGAGGTCTGGCCGCAGTAGGCGAAGAGGAAGACGTTGAACTCGGAGAGGAAGACCTCCCACCCGCTCGGCGCGAGGGCGACCACGTCGCCCTTGCACGAGTCGTCGCCCACCCTGCCACACGGCGAGACCATGTCGAAAGGCTCGAAGTACGACACCGCGACAAAGCCGCCAAACGCAACTAGGACGGCGATGCCGAGGGCGGAAGTGACGCGCAGCGAGTCCATGCGGTCGAGCAGCACGAGCGGCGTCGCAAGGGCGGTGGCGACACCCACCCATAGCGCGCGCGACGCGCCGAAGCTGAACTCAAAGGCGGTGGACGCGACCACGAGGTAGCTTATCACGCCGCCGAGGCAGTTGCAGATAATGAAGAAGTTTACGACCACCGAGAAGCCGGGTCGGAGCGCGTCACCGAGGCCGGTGAAGGTGCTGATGCGCGTCTTGAGTGCCGATTGCGCGAGTACGTAGAAGGAGCACACCGAGGAGAGCGCGCCCAGCAGCAGAAAGAGGGTGCCCGTCGCCAGCCCGATTTTGGAGAAGGCGAACGGCAGGCCGAGGATGCCAGTGCCGGCGACGGTGTGCACGAGGTTGATCACGCTCGACACCAAGGACGCGCCCACAATCTTGACCGGCTCGCCTCCCTTCTCCTCATCGCCCAGCACAATTTCGCCCGGCGCCGAGGCACGCGTGATGTCGAGGAAGGAGACGACCGGCTCGAGCACGTCCGACATCATGCGGCCGATGGCGGGCACCGTGCTCTTGCGACTCAGCTGGGAGGAGCGGCTGGCGCGGTTGGGCCGTGGCTCGTCGATTGCTGCCGGCTGCATAGCGGAGTGGTCGCAAGGAAAGCTGTCGTCGTCCTTGACAAGGTCGGGGGGGTACATGTCTCGCCGATTTGACTATAGAGTTGTCGGTGACGGCACTGGTAGCTCCGGCGGGTTATCTCGAGGTTCTCGAGGATTGGCCGCGTTGGGTAGCGAGGATTGGTGTGACGCGATCCACGCAGGCGTGTTTCTTGATGGCCAACGTATAGCCATTCGCGTCGCCATATGCAATCCTCGCTTTCTATCTGCCCGACGCCGTCAGCCCAGGCAGGCTAGACGCCGTGTGTATCGCGCACGCACCTTGCGGGGGCCTCTCACTCATTGATTGCCTCGCTCACTCGGCAGCAGCGAGCTCAGCAGACGGCGAGCTGGACTGTGGACCTCTGCGGGAATCTGCCAGAAGAGAGGCAGTCGCGCGCGCGGCGGCGGCGTGATGAGGGGCGCTCAACAGCCCGCGCCAAATCTGCCGCCGCTTTTCGCCCGCCGCGGGCGCTTTAGCCGACGCTGTTGTCTCCTCGCAAGGGTGCCGCCGCCTCCTCCCCGGTCGTCAGGCGTCCTCCGCGGTCGCCAGCGGTAGTGCCTCAGGCGTGGTGCAGCGCGCGACCGGTCATGGCGACGCCACGTCCGACCGTCCCTCCTCCGAGCCTGCGCTACCTGGAGCGAAAGCGGGCAGAGCACCGAGATTCCGTGCAAGGGGGTGCCGAGGTATGCCGCAGGCCGGGATGGAGTGAGATCTTGCGGGGCAGGGCGTAGGCTAGCGCGTGAGGGCGCAGGCAAGTGCCCGAGGGTATGGGGGTGGGCGCCACCCTGGGGCTACCCTTAGCATTGTCGGCTCAGTGATGGGTATCCTAAGTGCAAGTTTGGTATTCACAGCAGCGGAGGCTGAGTAAGAGCGCATGAGATGTGCGCGAGGGCACACTAGAGGAAGGGAACTCAGGAGAGTTATCCGTGAGCACTCCCATTAAACTATTGGCCTACGTAAGATTGCGAATTCTTTTTCTCGATGTCCCGGCGTCGCCTCGCCGCCGCCGCCGCACACTACCCCCTCACCGACCTGCCCCTTGAGCTTCTCGCGCGCGTCATCTCTCGCTGCGACCCCGTCGACATCGCTCGCGTCGCGGCCGTGTCCCTCCTCTTCCACGCCTCGCTCGCGGCGGAGGGCATCCGCTTGTGGGCGCAAGAGCGCGGCTTCGAGCTGCCGGCGCAGCCGGAGGGCGAGGGCTGCGCCGTGCGGTGGCTGTGCTGTTCTGCGCTGCTGCGCGAGGCCAACCCGCCGGCGAGGGTGGCGGCAGGCGAACGGCACAGCGTCTTCATCGACAGCGAGGGGCGGCTCTCGTCGTGCGGCTCTGCGCCGTGGTTCCGCCCAGAGCTACTCGGCCACGGCGAGGGCGTGACGCGGCTCAACAAGCCGACCCGCCTCTCCTCTACGCTGGGCGACGAGCGTGCCGTGAGCGTGTCGGTTGGAGAGTGCCACAGCCTCGCCCTCACCGCCGGCGGCGCTGTCTGGAGCTGGGGCGGTGGACGCAACGGCCAGCTGGGCCACGGCGACTGGCAGCACCAACTGCTGCCGAAGAAGGTCGAGGCCTTCGCTGGGCGGCGCGTCGTCACTGTCTCGGCTGGAGGCTGCCACAGCCTCGTCCTCACCGCCGACGGCGCCGTCTGGAGCTGGGGCTATGGAGCCTGTGGCCTGCTGGGCCACGGCGGCGAGCAGCAGGAGCAGCTGCTGCCCAAGAAGGTCGAGGCCTTTGCTGGCCAGCGCGTCGTCGCTGTCTCGGCTGGAGACATGCACAACCTCGCCCTCACCGCCGACGGCGTTGTCTGGAGCTGGGGCTGGGGACTCGTTGGCCAGCTGGGCCACGGCAACCAGCAGGACCAGCTGCTGCCAAAGAAGGTTGAGGCCTTGGCTGGCCAGCGCGTTGTCGCCGTGTCGGCTGGAGGCGCCCACAGCCTCGCTATTACCGCCGATGGCGCCGTCTGGAGCTGGGGTTTTGGACGTGTTGGCCGGCTTGGCCACGGCAACGAGCAGGATCAGCTGCTGCCCAGGAAGATCGAGGCGTTGGCGGGGCAGCGCGCCATCGGTGTGTCGGCTGGGGCCCGCCACAACCTCGCCCTCACCGCCGACGGCGCCGTCTGGAGCTGGGGCAGTGGACGCGATGGCAAGTTGGGCCACGGCGACGCGCAGCGCCAGCTCCTGCCGAAGAAGGTCGAGGCCTTTGCTGGCCGGCGCGTCGTCGCTGTCTCGGCTGGAACCAGCCACAGCCTCGCCCTCACCGCCGACGGCGCCGTCTTCACCTGGGGCAAGGGCGAACACGGCTGCCTAGGCGATGGAGAGGACCTGTCGGACCAGCTGCTGCCCAAGAAGATCGAGGCGTGGGCGCCGGGGGCGGGGCAGTGATGAGAAGGGCGAAAGGGAAACTTAAAGGCCACGGACGCTTGCGGTTGCGCTCCCAAGCCGCACTCGTGCCGCCAGCGTGGGCAGGGCGCCAGCCGCATTGGTGGGTCTGGCGCACGTCTTGTGCGCAAGGGTTTGGCGGAGTTGTGGGCGCCAACTCTGTGCAAACGCACAAGAGCTCGCGCGCAAACTAAGAGAGAGTCCGGTTGTTGCACGAGTATATGGGACACTTGGACACGGTGTCTGCGTGTCTCTCAAATATGAGGGGTTTTGACTCTCCTACCGGCTCCTGACGCTATCCCTGGCAGCTCTAATGACCAGGATCAGTAGTGTTGTGATCGAGGGTGCCCATACTAGCGCAGGAGAGCTGCCAGTGCCACACACTCGCCCGGACCCCCCGTCTCCCCCCTCTGGGGCCGGTTGCGCGGTTCCGCACAGCCCGCGAGAGCCGACAGCGGGGCCGTGCGGGTGCCTACTGCCGAGTGCCACAAACACTGCGCCGTCCCGCCATCACCTCTACAGGCTGTCTTGTGTGATGGTTGGGATGTCCAAGCGCCACCATCTTGGCTCTTGCGACCTCAAACCCGCGAGCTGTAATGGGTGGCCCTGACGTCGACAGACGCCCGAGGGACCACGGTGAAGCTGAGCCGGAACGAGTCGACAAATCTCGTCTGAGCCCATGGCGGTCGCTGGCTGAGTCGCTGTGTACGGGCCGGTACCTCAGGCGTCACCTCCGCAGCCTCATCTAGGGTACCATACTTCCGGGCCGGTGTGCGGGGAGCGAACCTTAACGACCGCCCAGAAGCTTTCTGAGCAAACCAATCGGGCCAGGATCATCAGCATATGTCCCTTCCACAACATCGTGGGCGTTTGAGCGGTATTTGAGGAGCACCGCGACTCTGAAGTTCGGCCGGGTGGTCTGCAGACCCCCCCCCCCGGAGCAGCAGAGGCTCCGTGGGGTCGAAAAGTCGACGCTGGGAGTCGCACTCGTCAAGCCATCGCAGCACCACGCGGTCCGCACGTACCTACCACATCCCCTCCACCGCTGAGAAGGCGCTGATCGACCGCCGGGCCGCGTAGTCGTCGTTAAGGAGCGGTTTTTGGAGCCGTACGAAGAGGTCCCAGACGGGCGAACATGCGGTTTTTCGATGACCACGCGCGATGTGGTATCTGCTTTTTGCTAAAAACGGGCCGCCTAGTGCAGCATCACTAGTAAAACACGCAACCACACTGAGAGCTCCACACTAGCCGGTATAGGCGAGCGCCGACGGCGTCACGGTCGCCGGAGTGGACGCACTGCACACACACTGTGACCGTGTCGACGGTGTGACAATGAGCGACAAAATCGTCGGCGCCGCGCTATCGCGGCGCCCCGCAGTCTACACACCGCAGGCGCACCCCTGAACGCGCCATGAGCGCGCAGGCACATAGCAGCGCCGCGCCAAAAGGCCATTCCCTCACCCGACCCGCGGCTCCACCATGGCTGCAGCGGTCCGCTCACCTGCACAGGGCAAAAACGTGTAGCTTAACAGACGACTTGTGATGATCAGTGCTGGCGGAGGCCTCATCGCCGCGAATGCTGCCAGTCGCAGCGGGATCTGACGTCGCGTTTGAGGTGTGCATTGGCGGAGGGGTCGCATGTGGCTGAGAGAGGCAGAGGCAGCAGGCGGGTTGACGACGAAGGCAGGGGAGGAGACGGAGGGGCGACACGCAGGAGGAGCGAAATCGCGAACGGCCCGAGCAGAGAGGGCGACGGCGGAGCACGAGGGAACAACGGAGACGCTACCGATGACGCGAACCGAGGCACGGACGACGGAGGGGACGGGGACGGGGAGGGCGACAGCGACGTCGAGGTTGACGCAACGGTATCGAGAGCGCCACCCAAAAGGAGGCGGACAGCCATGGAGGTCACCGAATGGAGGGCGAACGGCACGATACGAAAAGCCGGTTGAAAAGGCAGGGCGAGGCGGATGGAGAAAGAAGTGCCGAGGAGGCCATGGTGGAGGGGAGGGACGGGAGGACAAAAGAAGGGCGAGGAGGACGAGCGGCCCGCACAGGCCGCGAGCAGACAGCGCCTGCTGGCCACTTCGAGACATTCGCCAAGAACGCTAGCTACATGGGAGGGCTTCGTGAAGGATGGACTGAAAAACATTCGAACAAAGAAGAGGCGACGGGAGGAACCGGCAGAGGATGCAGTGACGTGACACACACACACACACACACACACACACACACACACACACACACACACACACACACACACACACACCGCTCACCCACGCGCACCGGGCCTTGCACTTTGAATGCCGTGGGGCTCCTGTCGTTAGACGTGGAGCCGACGCGAGGGTTGCCCCCCCTTGCCCCACCACCTCGTGTGTGTGGAGAAGTTTACCTTACCTTACCTTACCTCGCGAGCAGACAGCGCCTGCTGGCCATTTCGAGACATTCGCAAAGAACGCTAGCTACATGGGAGGGCTTCGTGAAGGATGGGTTGAAAAACATTCGACACGTACTCTCCCATGCCATCTCCGCCGCTATGTTTGGCTCCGGAGGGCGACGGCGCGCTGCATCACCTCCACCACCTCGCCCACGGACCACCGCTCACCCACGCGCACTGGGCCTTGCACTTGTAATGCCGTGGGGCTTTTGTCGTCTAGACGTGGAGACGCGAGGGTCGCCCCCCCTTGCCACACCACCTTGTGTGTGTGGAGAAGTTTACCGAGTAGGAAGTGCAGCGCGCCAGCGAACTGGCGCACTCAGCTCATCGCGGGGCTTACGCACCCGGGTGACATGGCTACGGCGGACCGACTGGACGGAGCGCCCCCCCCGTGCCGTGCTCTGCTCAGGGCCGTCGCAGAGGAACGGTGATGCAGAGGAATGGGAGCCGCCCTTCGCATGTGCTGTGCGCGCATACCCCGGCTGTTGCACCCGCTCCTTCGCGAGTGCGGCCGCCCTCGCCGGTGCAGCGCATGACGTGCGTGCGTCGAGGAGGTAGAAGTCGTACGGGCTGCGCACTTTGTGATAAATGAGGCTCGTGTTGGTCCACAGCCGCCGCTGGCCGCCTGCCCACGTGACGCGGGGGTCCGTCCAGTCCAGCAGCGGTGTGAGTGCAACGGCCGCTCTCCACGACGCAAAGGAGATTGCCACGTCAATGAAATAGCCCGCGCTCGCGCACTGGCGGGCCGTCTGGCGGCTGTCCCGATGCAGAAGGCGCACAAAACCCTTGTTTGCGATCCCGTACCCGGCCGGCAACGCAATCTCAGTGTGAGGCCGCCCTCGATCGCCGCACAGGCTCCATCGCCACCCGCCACCCACGCCGACGTGCTTGGCGGGTGCATAGAGGGGCGACGCAGACGAGGGCAGGAATGAGGCCAGGCAGGGCGGCACGTAGACGTCGTCGTCGTTGAAGGAGACCCAGTCGTACCCGCTCATGTCGACAGCGTCGAGAAATGCCATAATACGGCAGCAGCCACTCCGCTCTGTGCCGTCGCACCCACGAACCAGCACGGCGACGCTGCGCTGTGTGCTGTAGGGCCGCGCCTTGCCAGCACTATCGCGGCCGATACTGGCGCACGCCCATCGGTCGACGGCCGTGCTCGAGCCGGAGAGCACGACCTCACAGCCGTGCTCAACCAATGCGGCCAACGACTGCTCGGATCTCTCCGCGACGACAAAGGTGTCCATCCGAGCGCCATACGTGCGGAGGATTGGAACGCCTCGCACAGAGAGCATCGTTCCGCTCGAGCTCACAACACTAGCGAGAAAGCTGCTGTCGGCGTGCGTGTTGCTGCTGCTGGCGATGCTGTTCAACGTAGGCACATCTCGCAAATAGGTAAGTGCGAAATCCGATGCCGCAGTCACGCAAGTCGCGGCGCGTTTCCCGCCAACGGCGTGGCCGCGCACATACACATCGGGATCTCGCCCGCCCGCCTCAATCCCAACGACGCAGGAGGCGCTACCAAATCGCAGGTGTCCGTCTTGCAGCGTGACAGGGAGGTTCTGTTCCGCGTCGAATCCAACTGTCCACGCGAGCTTACGGCCGGGCATGCGTACATAGAGGCGGCGCCATCTCCCGAGGGTCCACGGGCTGCGACACTCGAGAAGACCATCTGGCCGCTTCCTGAACCCACTCCACCCGCTCAGTATTGGTGGCGGTTGCAGTGTCAGCGGATCTTCGCAGGCCAAGAAGCGGTTGGTTGCGACGTGGCGTAGGGCAGGGGAGTCATGCCCTGTGAAGCGCACTGGCACGGCATTCGAGTGGTTGTGCCCCGAGTGCAGCATGGTGGTGCACCCGCCCACCCCGCTGGCCAAGCTCATTCACGACCTACTCTATGCGAGCGCTCACATGCAGTTCGAGACTGCGACCCATCGTGTGTGTGTGTGTGTGGGAGCGCGGCGCAGTCAGTGCCGTGGCGATGCCTCCGGCTGTTTGCGGCGGGCGGCTTGCTGCTCGCTGCATGGCGAAAAACTCGTCTCGCCGCACACCAAGGGCGTATGCTCTGGCGAGGCGTGAGGCGCATGCGCCCAGGAGGGGAGGGGGCATGCGTAACGACACTGCTAGAGATGCCTTTCGGGGCCCAGAGACAAAACTTCTGTGATGCCATGCGTGACCTAGTAGTGTCCCCAGCTATGGGCGTGTCCACGTTGGAGCCAGGTGTGGTGTGGGCGCGAGAATAGCTCCGCCGTTCATGGAGGCAACCGATGCGAGTCGACTGGTGTGTGTCGTCGTGGTTTCGTATCAAGAATACTCACTCACACACACTCAAAAACAAGCCCCAAATGACGTGTGAGTGTTAGAGTTGTTTGGTATTGCTAAAAATCTCTCTCTCCTCTCACACTCACACGACCCATCAAGTCGTCGAGTGGCTGCCAGTTCGAATCTCGTTGGGACCGGGGTTCGACTGGCTCCATGAGGCAAAATGGGTTGAGAATGGTGAACAAGTACAATGGCCGGCGCTCTCATGGGTGGGTCCCAGCTCCTGTCTGTAACACACGTGTCACCAAGATATTCAAATATCTACACGGCGAGGTTGCAAACAGTGAATATGAGGTGCGACCTGCGGCATCCCTTGAGCACCATGGCGAGGGCGCTAAGAGGTTCCTCTTTTCCGCGCCCCCCCCCCGCAAGGCGCGCGATACACACTCTACGCAAGGCGCGCGATACACTCTACGATGGCCGTGTGAAGAAGAACGACTGAGATGCGCTGCTTCTGCAGCCCCAGCCAGCTCTTGGTGGTCCAAGTCACCTCATCGAGGTACTGGGCCCGCGTCAGCTTGTTCTGTAGCGCGTCCGCCGCCTTCCGGAGGATCTCACGGACCCCCCTCCCGAACGCGCCGAACGACTCGAACAGCAGCAGCTGCACTTCAACGCCCTTCGACTTGAGCACTTGAGCACTGGATAGGGTCGATTCCGTTTGCTTTTTATCGATTTTTTTGAGCTTAGCCTTCGATGTTATGAAACAACGCAAGGCGGACATGGCTTTTTTATCGATTTTTTTTATTTTCTGTGGCTTATAGGATTCCTATCGCATTCGCCGCGGCGACAGCAACAAGGCTCCCCCCGGCCAACTGGCGGCTCCCTCGCCGGCGAAAATCCCACGCCTCCGGCCACTTCCTCGCCGCTCTCGACGCCACCCTCACCTGCTTCTCTGCGCCGCCGCTCGCTAGCTCTTAGCGTCATCCGCTTGCCCGCTCACAGGCAATGCAAGCGGATGGACGCAGTCGGCGCGCGCGCCTCTGCGCGGACGGATCGAAGGAGGAGTGGGTATACCGTCGCGGGAAGACTCCCGCCCTCGTCTCTGTCGACTTTCCGAGCTCCCTGCCCTCCATCGCGGCGAACGCCTTTGCGCGCTGCGGCTGTCTCGCCTGCATCGCACTCGATTGCGCCTCGCTCAAGTCCATCGGTGAACGCGCCTTCCTCGCCACCTCGCTCAAGTCCATCGCTCTCCCTGAAAGCCTCGTGTCCATCGGCCGAGGCGCCTTTGCCTTCTGTCCCTCCCTCACCACCGTCGCCCTCCCTGCCGGCCTCTTATCTGTTGGTGAGGACGCCTTCTTCCGCTGCTCCTCCCTCAAACGCGTCATCGTGCCAACCACCGCCTCGATTGGCATCGGCGCCTTCCCCTCCACCACCACCGTCCTCCGCCTCCCGCCCGCCCGCATGCGGCTCCGCCACCTCTGGCAAGGTGTGCTCGCGCACAAGCGCTGCCGCCCCGGCCTGCTCGGTTGGCTGGAGCGGGCCCAGATACGGCTTGGCTCTTACGGCCCGGACGGCGCGGCGCGAAAGCGCGACCGCGAGCAGTTCGAGTGCGATTTTGCGCTCGCCGCGGGCTCTTGAAGGATCGACTGAGTGTCATGAGTACTCTTTTGACCGACGCCGGAGGTCGTGGCAGCCGGGAGTGGCAGAGTCCAGAGAGATAAGGTAAGGTAAGGTAAACGTCTCCACACACACAAAGTGGTGGGGCAAGGGGGGGCGACCCTCGCATCTCCACGCCCGGGACACGGGCAGGAGCCCCACGGAGATAGATGCGTAGCCTCTGGAATCAGCGAATCACTCTTTTGCACACACACAACGCGAATTGCTTAATATTTTTCCTGTTTGGTTCTAACGACCGTAGTGCGTACGCTCACATGACACCTGACGGAGGGAGGGGCAGGCTGCTCACCCACGTGCACCGGGCCAGTGCTTGCACTTTGATCGGCGCACTTTTTTCGCTAGAGTATGGGACCGCATCGGCGCCCGCCTCTCCCTGGGCTCGGTATGCCTCGAAATCGACTCACCCGAAAAAAACGTCCCAAAAAAACGCTCTCTCTCTCTCTAGGTTCTCGAGGTGGATATCCTTTGGGGCCGCGTTGGGTAGCGAGGATTGGTGTGATGCGATCCACGCAGGCGTGTTTTCTGGCGGCCGACCGTCAGTGCGCACGGAGTTGCCCCTTCTCGACTGCCCCGGAATTCCTACACGTGATCTGTGAGCTGACAACCCCCTGCTATCAGAACACAGACTTGGAGGTTTGCCCGCTCTTCCTCGCCGCCAACTCTCTCTCTCCCCAACTCTCTGCCTATGTATGTAGGGTTCGAGAGGTGAGCTCTTGGCTGAGCTGGCTACATCGCAGCCATCTTGGGAAAGATGGCTGGGGGACAGCCATTTCAGCCATTTCAGCCATCTACTATGGCTGCGTCATAGAGATGGCAGCCATCCTCCAGAGCATGGCTGGTGGTAATTCGATGGCAGCCGATGGCAGCCGTCCCGCGAGGACGGGGGGCGACACGCGCGCAGCCATTTGTGCGTGTGGCGGGGGAGGCGGACGGCTGCCATCGAATTATCACCAGCCATGCTCCGGAGGATGGCTGCACTGACTGTGCCCCAGCCATATTAGATGGCTGAAATAGTTGTCCCCCAGCCATCTTTCCCAAGATGGCTGCGATGTAGCCAGCTCAGCCAAGAGCTCACCTCGAGGCGGGCGGTATGGATGGCTGCGGTAGTGGTAGTAGTGCGTCTCCAGCCATGTCTACCAAGGAATGGCTGCCGTGTGTGTATTGCAGCCATTACACTGGAGGATGTGGCTGCACTGCAGCTAGCTCAGCCATCCTTAGGTAAGATGGCTGCGTAGGAGCCAACACAGCCATTCTGGTGTTACATTCCGAGGTTAGCCGGCGGCGACAAGGATCCTCTTTTAGCCCCCGCGGCGGGCACGATTACGGGCGGACCGTAGAGACCTGCACTGCCATGCTTGCGACCTGTGCGGTGGTCCTCGGCCTGGTCGAGTGCACGGACATAAGGCTCCAACACACATGTGCGGCAATGGTGGCACGAGGGGCCTGTACGGTGTCCCGGGGCTGTAAGCGCAGCTGCGGCCAGTGCAGCGCGGGAAATCTGAGTTCAGCTGCAGCCAGTGCAGCACCGGCAGTGCAGCCCGTCATGCGCCGGCACGATGCTCGTGCCGGTGCAGAGGGCTCGTCGCATGACTACCTTGACAGCCGCGTCACCGTTCGGCCCACGCGTGAGCCGGGAGCGAGCTCGTGCCCGCCTTGCGTGGTACGTGAGCAGCCGGCGCAGTACTCCGCCCGGGCACGCCTCCTCGCGCAGTTGGCGGCTGGCGGAGGTGGTGCGCGGAGACGCGCCGCGTCAGCACTGTCTGAGTGCGCCAATCTGGCTCCAGCCGGCACGGGAACGCGACCTCTCACCGCGTGGCTGAGAAAGCATTCCAAGCTCGCGCACCACCTGCACACGGCAAGGTACATGCACTTGAAAGCAGCAAAGTGCGTCATCCTGACAATACGAGATCCTTGGGCTCGTCTCATCAGCGGGTTCAATTTCGAACGAGATGCCCGCACCCACAACCCACACACATTTGCCAGGGCCGGATACAGATCGGCGGAGGCGTTTGTGGACGCGCTCACGCGATCGGATCATGAGCGCCTCCCCGCCTCAGCCTTGTACTATAGCAGCCTTCGTGGCGTCTACAGGAACATCTCGACGCCAAGGTACGTCCAACCGTTCAGCTATAACACCATCCGGGGGGGCGAGCACCATCTCGTCCCTCAGATAGACTATGTCGACGATGCGATGTTCTCCACTGTCGACATTCACTTCCTGTGCACCGAGAGCCTCGATTCGGACTTGGCGGAGCTCTCCTCTACATTTGAGCCTGCGCCTGGTGGGGGTGTTCCTGACATCCAGAGAATGTCTGCTGTGCCATCTCGAGTCGTCAAACACCAGAGGCACCGTGCTAACCTGACCAGTTGCCACGCGAAATATGTGCGCGAATGCCTCTACCCGGCGGATGCCTGGCTCTGGGAGCACATCTGCGTGTCGCACTCGTTTCCGAAGCACCTTTATGCAGGAGTTTGGCCTCGCAAGAGTTTTGGTGACGGCGCAATCACGTCACGGAGGACAGGCCGGTGACGGAGGACATGCCGGTGACGGAGGACATGCCGCTGCCGAGTTGTAGTTCGGTCCCAGCCAGCAACCCAGCAACTACTGTGACTACAGCGCGGGCGATCCCCTCCTCTTTCGCCACGCTGGCCTAGCAATGTCCTAGCCAGGATCTTTCTTCGCGGACGCATGCTTGGTCTCGACCGTGAACTGTGCTTCCTGTTAAAGTGAGGGCGAGGCCGAGCCCGAGGGGCGGAGGGCGTGGAGGGGGCGAGGCGGGGCGCCAGGGTACAGGTGTATATGTTTATTCTGGGTTTACCCGTTGTCTGTTTCGGCATTTTCTGCTTGCCGACCGCTGAACAATAGTAACAACAATAGCAACAGGGAGCTTGGGATCAGCTAGCCTCGCCTGCTCCGGGCTCCGCCAGCCGATGTGTATATGGCGGCCGTCAGACGCTGGTGCACCACCGAGTGCCGGCGCCGGCACGCGCCGCGCGCGTGATGGGCTGCGGCTCGAGGCTCAGCCAAAGGTCGGTGAAACCGACGCCGCGCCGGTCGCGGCGCGCGGCGACGGCCTCGCCGAAGGTCGCCTCCCAGCCGGGCTTGTCGTGCGGGCCGGCGACGAGCGGGCAGACGCTCGGCGCCGCGAGCGGCCGGCGGAACTCGTCGAGCGTGGACTGGAGATACGGTAGCTCGGTCACGTAGTGGAAGCCAAAGCTGCTGAGGTTGCGCAGCAGGCTCACCGCCGGCGTGACGCCGCCGAAGCTCTGCGGGTCGAGCTCCAGGATGAGGTTGCGGACGCGCCCGCGGCGCAGCAGGTTGGTCGCGCCGCGCAGCGCCGCCGGCTCGGAGCCCTGAATGTCCATCTTCATCAGCGTGATCTCGCCGGCGTGCCGCAGCTCGCGGTCGAGTGTCGTCGTCTGCACCGCGGATCCGCTGCCGCCGCCGCCGTGCCCAGATGCAGGGCCGCGCCCGGATTCCGACTTTGGTGGAGGCCGCCATGGAGTCCGCAGGAGTCCGACGCCACCAAGTTGCCGCGCGTCACCACCGAGCGATGCAGCACGTCGTCGTCGTGGTCCGTGACCGCGCGTTTCAACATGCGCAGCCTGGACGCGACGCCGTTCCGCGCGGCTGACTGCTGCACAAGCGCAGAGATCTCGTCCTGCATCTCAAAGCCGATGACGCGGCAGCCGTGCATGAGGAGCATGAGCGTCTCGTAGCCGATGTTCGTGCCCACGTCGACCGCGAGCGCACCGCCGTCCGTCTGGTTGCAGTGGCGACTCGCGAGCGCCTGGACGACCCGTGTGATCGACGGCTGCCAGAGACCTGTTCGCGTGACGCTGGCCGATATCATCGTGTCGACGCTGGGGTTCAGCGTGAGCAGCTCAAAGGACGGAGTGGTCACACTTCGCGCCACGAACTCCTCGTGGGCAGGCATGATCGGCCACGACGACAAAAGAACCGCCACTGCTGTCGGCGCGACACCCTCTGGCGGCGCGAAGCGAAGAGCGCCGACCAGGGCACGGCCAGAAAGCCCGTCGAGAAGAATTCTTAAGATACAAGCCTCTCTCACAGCACACTGGCACGACAAGGGCGCGGACTGGCGCGGACTGGCACACACACAGGCTCACCACCGGAGCCGCCTAAGCGACTCCGTTAAGAACGGCAATGCACTCCGCACCATGCACAATGCCGCTCTCCCCGCACGCTAGCTCGTTCACCGTCTGCCACGCCACGGCGGTGTGGAGGACGACAGACAAGCGCTGCATCTGCAGCCCGTGCCAGTTCTTGGTGGTCCATGTGACCTCGTCCAGGTGCTGAGCGTGCGAAAGTTTGTTGCTCAGCTGGTTCGCCGCCTCCCTCAGGGTGCTGCGAACCTCCTTTCCAAAGCCTCCGAAAGCCTCAAAATCAAACAAACGTAGATCGCAATCCTGCTCTTCGCAGTCTCTCGCCGATTCTCGCTGCAACCTTCATCCACCTCGCGGTCGTCCCACTCTCGTCGTTCTTTCCCTTGTCGCTTCTTCTTCTGTGCCAGTGTGCTGTGAGAGAGGCTTGTATTTTAAGAATTCTTCTGTCGCGTCGCTCTCCTCTCTCGTTTTTTTTTTGTAAAATTCTTTTGTTTCCCGGGCAGGCTTCACCTGCCAATGGTCGGAGGGGCGGAAGAGCTCGGCTGGCGCTGCCTTCCCTCGCTGCCCTCCGCGCCGACCCACCCCGGCTGCCTCGCCTGGTCCGCGCACGGCCAGCTCGCCATCGTCGCCGGTCGCCGCGTCTACATCCTTCCCGCGCGGCCATCGACCGTCGGCCGCGGCGTCGTGCTGGCGAGCCGGCTGCTCGAGGGCGGGCAGCCGAACGACGCGATGCCGTCGGCGCACAACGCCGGCGGCGGCAGCGGGAACCAGCGCGCACGCCGCAAGCCGAACGGCACGGGCGGCGTGGCGGCGGCGGCGGTAGTAGTCGACCTCACTGAGGAGCCCGAGGAGCGGTCGGCCGAGGAGAAGGGGTGGGAGGCGTGCCCGCCGCAGCTACTTGAGGCGACGTTCCGCTGCGTGGCGTGGTCGCCGCCGCTGCCCGCCGCGCCGCCGCGCTGCCTCCTCTGTGCCTCGGTCGCCCACCGAACATGTATCCTCAGGTCGCCCTCCCAGCCCTCCCAGCCCTGCGCCCTCCCAGCCCTCCCGGCAGTCCCAGCGCAGAGGGGCGAGCGCGGTACCTCGGTCTGCCACCCTCAGGCCTCCGGCGTCGCGGTACGACGTCGAATGGGAGGTGAGTCTGGACGTGTCGGCGCTTCTGCTCGCCGCGCAGCAGCAAGCGTCGAGCCGGCCGGGCGGAGGCGGAGGCGGAGGCGGAGGCGGAGGCGGAGGCGGAGGCGGAGGAGGAGGCGGAGGCGGAGGCGGAGGCGGAGGAGGAGGAGGCGGCGGCGGCGGTGTTTCGCAGCGGTCGCTCGAGGTCCTGTCCGCGGACTGGTCCCCGCCGCTGCTGGGCGGTGTCGTCCTCCTCGCCCTCGGCGGTCCCCGCCAGCTCTCCCTGCTGGCTCTCGAGCCGCCGCGCCACGCCGCCGCAGCACACGCCGCCGCAGCACACGCCGCCGCAGCACACGCCGCCGCAGCACACGCCGCCGCAGCGCACGCCGCCGCAGCACACGCCGCCGCCGCCGCGCCGGCCGCCGCCGCGCCGCCGCCGCAGCGCGCGGGCGGCAGTCGCGGCGGCGCCCCTTCCGACGGCGGCGCTTCAGACGGCGCCTCGGGCTGCGTCTCGCGAGGTATAGCCGAGATGCAGCCGAGCTGCAGCCGAGATGTGCCTCGCCCAGGCGACGGCGACGGCGGCGCGTGGAGCGTGGCGGCCGTGCTGCCGAGCGCCAGCGGGGCGGTGACCGCCGTTCACTTCTGTCGCGGAGGCGGCGGAGGAGGCGGAGGCGGAGGGGCCCGAGGCGGCGGCGGCGGTGGCGGAGGCGGCGGAGGCGGAGGCGGAGGCGGAGGCGGAGGCGGAGGCGGAGGCGGAGGCGGAGGAGGAGGAGGAGGAGGCGGAGGAGGCGAGGTCCTCTTGTGCGCTGGCAGCAGCGACGGGGCGGTGT